CTGTGAAAAATCTAAGTAAATTATGCTTATGATGAGCAAGAAAACTCCAGGTGTACTTATTTATAACCAATGTGCCTTGGAATTCTCATGTAATTTTTTAGAAAAACACTGGTATTATCACTCAGTTACTTAATTTCCATTATGTGAATGTATAAAGAAGAAAAAAGTGTGAGGTCATTCAAGAACAGTTGGTTAGAAGCTAACATAAATATGGTAAGCTAAATAAAACTCATTAGAAAATATGCATCTTAAAAGCTTTTAATCACTGTGTGTCACATCTAATACCATCTACCAGCAGCAACCTAAGTATAACAATATTGTACAAACTCATCAGGTGGCATGTAACAAGGGAAACTGGCTGTGAATAATTCCACGCTATCAAATAATATCAACTGACTGCAATCCTGAGAACGGGTCTGTGAGTATTACTTTTCACAAAACAAGATCTAAGGGGAGGCATTTTGTAAGCTTCTGCAGTTACAAATAGCTGCTCAAGCATTCATGTCAGGGTTCAGACAAAAGTTAGTGAGAGACTTCTGAGTTTCAGGAGTGTCTGGTGTAGACTCTATTTTATACCATGAAAGACAACTGTGATGGGAAAAAACAGAGCATCAACACAAAGAATTCACATTATTAGGCCAACCTTTATGCTCAGGTTCACAGCTCCAGTGCAGCAGTGAAAACTCACTTTTTTGAGCTCCCCAGGACACCTGCCTGGCCTGAGATTTTATGTAGGTAGCTACTATTTCTTACACACTATCTCTTGGCTGTATTTTATATGTGTGTATATATATATATATATATATATATATGTATGAGAATTCGTATAATGTAATTTGGTTATAATATGGTTCTGTCTTTATTGGTACAGATGGAAATCACGTAATACCCCAGGAAAACAGTATCAGACTTTGCTTGTGTTTGACTGAAGTCTATTATCAATACTGTGATTAGATAAGTGAATCAGTTGGCAGGAGAATATGTGAACTGAACTCAGTAGCTATTTATACTCTATGAGATGTGATCATGAGATATCTTGAGAAACTTTGCTTTAAGCTTCTTGAGAAACTTTGTTTTAAGCTTTTGGAGAGAGACTATTAAAATCATGATTTGATACTGGCATTGATACTGGCTTTTGCCCCTGCAAAATAAGTACTTCGTTGAAATTTTTTTCCTAGTTACTGTTGGAAGAAAACATAATCACAGGCTCTGAGGATTTGAACTAAATGATATATTAATAAAACTTCTCCTTGTTTATTTTCAGTTCATTAAACAAGGTATAGTTTTCTTTTTTTCCCCATGTGCATTACCATTTTGCATTCCTCTAACATGATGAATAACAATCCTTTCAGCATATATTATAGAGTGAATGGAAGAACTGACATTGACAAGGAGATTAAGCTGTAACAGTAGTATGAAGATTTGTACCACATCTATCTCATTAATACAGTGAAGAGAAATGCAGTTTGTGGAACCTAACTCACTTGGACTCCCCCTCCCCCCACCTTTTAATAGAAATAGAAGAAATAAGTAAGCAAACATACTTGAAAAGATAGTATTTTGGTTGGAACTGCTGGCTAAAGCACAGCTTCTTTTGGAGGGCCTGATAATCATGGCAATATGATTACTGATCAGTAGCGACCCCTTCAGGGTCAAGGCTTAAGATCCATCCCCCATCTTCAGAGTCTTTGTGTATATCTGCTGTATTTTGGGGAGTGATGAAAGCTGAGGGAACCTCCATGGACTTTGCTCATGATTAATGCAGCAGACCTTGGTTGAACAAGCTCTGCGTGGGATTTGGAAAGGCAAGTTCCTTGTCAAACACAGGTCCCACAGCTCTGCATGGCAGACAGAAAGGATCTGGAAAAAAAGGATAAAATGAGATGGAACTATGTGGGTATTGTTAGGGTTTCAGTGCATCTCATTCACATAAGAACAGGCACACAGCCCAGTGGCACCCCTTGGGTAGATTTTGGGTCTCCCTCTCTGCTTGTGTTGCTCTTTCTCATCATGTCACTGGGTAGCTGAGGCTCTGCCAGGACACTGTGGCCAGACCCATCATGTCTGCAGCACCTCTTTCCCCTACAATCCTCTTTGGTAACATGCTCAGCCTTGTGCTGCATTGTTCCCACAGCTGGGTGACAAATTGCTGCCACACCACTCTCATATGCCCTCTCTCCCAGACATAGTGCTCCTCCTCCTGGTGATCCACCACAGTCTGTATAGTGGTCTGTCCTTCAGAATAGAATAGAATGTGTATATATATATATATATATATATGTATAACTGATTGGAATTAAAGGGCTTTCAGGCAGCAGCAGTGGGAACAACTACTCCTTTGAAAAAGAATATAAAGCTGACTGATCCCATGCTATGCCTATGGCTCCATGCTATGCTTTCCCGTAAAAGTGGGATATGAAGCCACCTACTAATACACAGAACACAAACGAGGAAGCCAGAGGAGAAACAGTGCTGAACTCCTTAGCTTTGCTTTTAATGAGGATAGAAAGCAGCACAAAGCAAAATTCCCTTCTTTGTTTCAAAGTTGTTCATGTGGGAAGTCACAGGCAATAAACACATCTGTGCTTAATCTGCAAAGAAACCCACAGAGTACCTTGCGCTTTGCCAAAAACAAGTGTGGCAGTTTCTTTACTGAGCTCCCAGTTTTCACATTTCACTTTCCAAACTCTCCCCACACCTGTGATTGAAACACAATACATACGTGTGCCTGGTTTCCAACATCAGTCTTTCTTGGGTGACATTTAAAAAGGTTTTGAAATTGAGTTGCACTGGCTCAACTCATTTCTGCTTTGTTCCAGCAGCACTTGTGTATATAAATAACAGTTTGTATCCCCTGACAGCTCCCTGAATTAGAATGGCACTTGTGGTCAACCACAGCAGAAAGAGCAGAAGGGAAATACTTTGGTCCCACAGGCATAATCATGCAATTTGTTGACTAGTAAAGTGGGTGCTTGTGTTGCAAGTGATTGGTTTCAGTGATGTCCTTTTGCCTGCTGTAATCACTATCAGCTTTTCTGTTGTGCTTCAGAAAGATGGCTCTAGTCTCTCAAAGGGAAAAAATGCAGGTAAGAAAAACAGAGTTAGGCCAGAAAGGTTGTCAAGCATTGGAACAGGCTGCCCAGGGCAGTGGTTAAGTCGCCGTCAATGGAGGCATTTAAAAGACTTATGGATGTGGCTCTTAGGGACATGGTTGGTTAGTGGTGAACTTGGCAGTGCCAGGGTTACAGTTAGACTTGATGATCTTAAGGGTCTTTTCCAACCCAAATGATTCTACAGCTCTATGATTCTCTGACTAAATTACTTCTGAGCTGAGATTCAGGTAAGCCTTTTAAAAGATGGGTTCTCCTTTGCTAACCTTGACTTGTGCCTTCAGGAAGAAGGCAGACCTGTAGCTCCTGCTGCTTTTCTGTAAGTGGCCAATTCTCCACCAACAGTACCTGGTAATGTCTCAGTTTAGTTGTTCAGGGATTGATAAGGAGATCCTTCTGCAATACTGCAGCCAATGAGGACAAAATTCCTATTCTCTTGTTGGTATATAGAACTAATAATAGTTGTATATGTTATTCAGCTAGAAGGAATTCAGAGCTTCCATATTTTGTATGTATCTGTCTCTTCTGCTATAGCACTGATCACATTTGTCGAATAAATACGGTCTCAAGACCAACGTTAGAATAGACACAAAAAACCCCAAATTAATCAGAAATATTTTTAAAATAAATCTAATTATGGGTAACTGTAGTAAATTAGCAACTAAAAGTCTAACTTCCAGGTTTGAAAATTAATTGTCATTGCTATCTTTTATTATTTTTTTCCAGCAAGTGCATAGAGAAACTTGGAAGTCCTCATTTTTTCCGAGTTTTTCTGTTTGAGGGGAATAAGATGGATGAAGGAGGGTTGTGTGGACTTCCATGAGATGTACAGAATCTGGAAGTTTCACAACAATGTTGTGTTTTAAAAATGAGAGAAGCTCTTAACATTTTAGCAGTCTAACTCCCTCATATGTAGTTAGAAAGATTAATATTTGCATATTATTATCTTTGCTGACCAGCAGTATGACAAAATTCCTTTCTTCATGTGATTCTATTTTATTTAACCGAACTACTCTTAATTTTTCTTACCTATGTGTTATCTTTAGTACAGGAATCAGGCATGTGTTGTAACTGCTGTGTATGAACTCAGAAAGGGAATGGGGTAATATAATTTGCTTCCCTTCGTTGCTTTGACCCAGTCACGTAGAGACTCACTGGAAGATGATGTCTGTATTCACAATCCTATTGTCCCATAAAATTAAGAAAACCAAATTGAAGATAGAATACTTTGTATAAATTCCCCAAACAATGTAGAAGACTTCAAGGAGTATCTGATTTTATATTGTATTATGGAATAGAAATAAAATAGAACAAACTGAGCTTATGTAATTATGCAATACAAAAATTGCTTGCAGAATTGTTTCCTGTTGGTGACCCCTTGTAGCAGGTTGCCAGAAAACCAGATCTTTCTTTATAATAGTTGTTACCTTAGAGAAATAAATAAATAGGTAACATATGACCATGGGTTATATACCTGAAGATTCATTAATACAATGTCAGTTAATAAATTTTATATTTATTTATAAATTACCTTTCAGGAAACTGATGTTTATTACTTTTATCCTCATTTACAGAAGGCTTGCCACAATAGAGCACTGTATTCTATACAGTAAACACATTCCAAGCCTGCACAGGAAGAATTTTAGGTGAAAGTACCATTTTCCTTTAAGTTTTAATTTATACAGGATTTCTTTCTTATTCTGTAGACAAATACCGAACAAAATAGATTAAATGAATTCAGCCTGGGTGAACACTATGATGTTGTTTGTTCAAGCTGTACTAAGCATGATAAAATACAATCTGGTGTCTGCCACACATACATAGTTCAGATTCCTTTGTTTCTTAAATGTTAGTTGTTTGATAAATAAAAATAGATTAGCTATTCTGTTGTTTGTTTTTTCTGGAAATGTCACTGTCTATTTTGACAGAAAATAGAATACCTTGTATTCTATATAATATCTGCTTTCAAGGCAATTGAGAAACTGAGATTCAAAGAACCTCATTCCTAACACTTGATACGGTCAATAGTAAGAAACCAGCTAGGTTCTGTTTTGAAGAAAATGTCACTTAGATTTACATATGTTTTAACAAATCTTATTAAAAAGATAATGCTACAAAACCTGAAAGGATTTATAATAACTGAGCAGGAAAAACAAAACCATAACCCCCTTAGTCAAATACATAGCCATTTTAATATGTTGAATTAACATACTGAATCATGATAGCTTTTAGTTACTAACCTCAGATGGGCAGTGACATCTTTGCTGTTGCAAATTACTGAGAATCTAGATAGTATAGTTCATATTCTATTCAATAAAGATTTGATAGAGGTCTAGAAAAGAGCATAAAGAAATTAAGTGGAGAAACAGGGTAGGAAGAAAAAGAGAGAGAGAAAGAGGGGTGAAAAAGCCCACAATAAGCAGAATAGAGACAGAACATTCCCTCATGTCTGGCTCACTCTTTGTTTTTCTATTTCAAAACCAGAGTACATTCCTTTTGTGAGAATGCCCTTCTAGAGTCACTCAGAAAAAAATCACTACCTGGGCTGAAAGATAAGTATTGACAGAAATTCACTGTCGTGAATAAAAAGTACAGGTTACAGCAATAAGAGAAGTCACGATCTTAATAAAAAATATGAAACTGCTGTCTGTATTCCAGCTTTTTTGCTTTTTAAATGCCACAAAAATATGTAAGGATAACACCCTTGTGATGCTGAAGTTCTCCAGTATTTCTGTGCTTCCACTGAGCACTGGTTCTGATACTGTTACTTCTCCTTCTCAGTCTTGTTGGGGGGGGAAGACTTTAAGCACATTCATGCATAGCTTATAGGAAGGGAAAATAGTGCATTTTCATTCAGATAGAATATTTTCTCTTTAATAAACAGGTGTCTAATTTTAATACCTCACAGTATCTGCTTTCTGATCAAAATGTCACAATTTCTTTGTGCTCTTGAATCTTAGTCATTTTTTGAAGTTTTTTGCTTTTTTTGAAAGCTGCAAATATTCAAGCTGACAATTCAAGTTAGGTGGTTCATTCTATTTGAATATTATTGGAATAGGAATTACAGCATGTAGATATAAAATAGCAACAAAAGAAGTGCAAAATTATCCATCTATCTCCACTATGTTTCAGACTTGAAATGGACCCTTGCTTAGTCTGAGTGATGATGGCTGTAAAAAAATGAGCAGTGCAAAACATAACTTTAGATTCTCATAGGAGTGAAGTCTGCAAAGAATTTAGAGGCCACCTATGTACAAGGCACTATGTAATAATGCTCATATGAGTCACTTAACACTTCCCATTTGTAAAGTCCAAGCAATCTTACAAATGTGTAACTACTGTCACCTCTGCCTATATAGATTTGCTCACATTCACTGTAACTATACAACACAGCAAGAATCAGGCTGTAAGTTATGGTCATACTGTGCTGCTGTAAAGTTTCCTGCTGAGCGTTAAAATAGTTGCTGAGCTATTTACCAGGATGGCAACAGTAAATATACTGTGTGAAATTCTGCTGCTGTCAGTGTTTATGATAAAAAGCCCACTGACTTAAATAAGGCTAGATTTCACTTCTTCTACACTTCATTTTCAATTAGAATCTGTATGAAGAGTTTTAATGTGACTAGCAATTAAGACCTTAAGGGGGTGTCCTGGGTTCAGCTGTAACAGTCATTTTTCTCCTTCTTAGTAGCCAGTGCACACATTGAGACATTCAAAGCAACATTTTGTGTTGGTCTCTTTAAAGTTTTATAGAGGTATGCTGCATCATTACAAACTCTTCTGAATCTTTCCTGGGAAGAGGGGAAGAAGGGGAGAAAGGCAGATGGGTGGGGGAAGAGAGAACAAGACACTAGGCTTGGGTTTGTTTCTTTGCTTTTTTCTTTAAACATCTCTTCAAGTACTTAGGTGGTGGTGAGTCACAGTTCTGTACACAGCTTTTTTGAATAAACTTTTTTAAAAGATGGCCTTCCTGAAGTTTTTCATTCCTGTGTAGGAAAATGTGATTTCCTGTGGTATCCTTGGAGCATGTACAACATCAGTAACCCTACAACCCTTCTGAAGCATTTAGGACTGTCTTTTATTATCATCTAAAAATAGTGGCATCTTCAATTGACCAAATTTTCTTGAACTGCTGTTTAGTTGCTTAGTTTTATTCTCTGTTTTCTCTGAGCAGCAGGACAATCAGCAGCCTAGTGCCAATCAACATGGCCTGTCCTCAGGAAGCAGCAGCAGAAGAGGAGACTGCAGTTTTGCATTTGTTCACTTGGCCTTCCATGTCTCTGCAAATTCCTCCTCCTCCCTTTATTTTTAATACAATTGCTCATGTCTCTCTGGGAATCTCAGAAAGTAACTGTACACAAGCTTTCCCCTGGTGCAGATAGAAGCTGGTTGATGGGAGGAAAGTTTGTCTTCACTGCGAGTGGAGTCATTTGCTAGGTAAGCTCAGGAGAACTCTTGTGAACGAGCAAGAAATAGCTCATTTGTGGTGACTCGAAACCTGGGCATGAAAGAGGGTTTAGATGTCTTGCCTCAGTAGACAAACAACTTATAATAATTTCAGTGGGCTTTTGGTTAGTCCTTAGTCTGTATTTAGCATATTCAATAGAACCAAAATGGTTTCATAAACCCAACCACAACTAAATTCTAGACGGATATTTACAGTAACTGTAAACAGTCATTTCAAAGAATGTGTAACCAGCAAATTTGTCATTCTTTATTAAATTCCATGAAATCTCTCTCCCATAATGCCCAGCACCAAGTAAATAAAATGCTGACCTTCTAAGCCAGGACATCCTCCAACCAGTTCCCATCTTGCATTTTTCATTAAATAGTTCCCACTTGTAAAAATGCCATGGTATAAGATGAAGAGATTTTTCTTCATCTTAGTATCAATCTATACAATTAGTTTACGATGAGCAGGAGTTTTGTGGTTTTGTTTTTTGTTTTTGTTTTGTTTTTTTCTTAGAGGAAGAATCACTAAGTTGTATTGTTGGTATTCTCAAACTGGTTTTGCTGATAAATATTAAATTATTCCTCCCTTCTTCATTTAGCAAACCTGTCAGAGATTAAACAGATATACAGGAGGTGGCAGAAGCAGCACACAAAATTTGGATGGTGTGCTTGGCACCTTTTAAAACACTTGGTGGAGCAGATGACAGTTTAAAGAAAGCACCCTAATTAGTATTAGTCATGTACAGATGCGGAAGAACTTTGAAAACTGGAAATAGAGGAGATAATTAAAAAACCTGTGCTAAAGAAATGGGATTCTCTCAGCTGGGCAAAATTCCCCACAGAAGCCAAAGTCCACATTGTATTGTGCACAAAATTTTAATGTTAACGTGTAAAAACTCTCATGTGTCATCTATCTCCCCAAACTTAAGTGTACCAACCATTTTTAGAACAATGAGGCTTTGAACCAAACAGCAGTGGAAACACCACTTCTGTTGAAGAAATCAAGCTGGCTTTACAGCAGTGCCTTTGAGACCACCTTATCTTGATATTGTGTTCCCATGCTACATATTCCTGAAATTGAGACTCTCGCTTTCACTTAGAAACTGCACAGAATACCTCTGGGAATGCATTGGTCAGCTAGAAATTTTCTAATATTAAGCATTATGGGTATTGTTTCAACTACAGTAAGGGCGTTATTTTAAAAGCTCTGACAGAATACCTCATAGCAAAAGAGACAGTCTGGGACAAAGAAATCCATGGGGTTCTGACATATAGTGAACAAAAAAGTCCATTATGGAGAAAGAAAGAATCTAAGGATACATAGGAGATGGCAAGAAGCTCATACAAAAAGGGAAGGAGGAAGTACATGTAAAGTCCATGGTGATGTTCTGAGTAGATAGCAGATCACAGTTTTATTTAGAAACAACATTTGTTTCCTTTCGTTGTAATGGAAAGTAGGAAAATCCTCTGATTTTTTTATTATTTCTGAGGTATTTATTTTCCTGTTTCATAAGGAAACCTAATTGTTTGCTGAGGGGTTTGGTGTGTGCTCCACTTCTTTGTCAGAAGTCAGTGAGTCAGTAACCAGTAAATGCATTTTGACTGAAAAGTTCTAGATTCTTTCAAGAAGAATTCAACTAATAGCTCCTGCAAAACTAACCATGTGGCTACATTAGTATTTCACAGGACAGTGGGTCATCATTGAAAACACCTTTGGAAGCTCCTGTTGAATTCTATTGACTCAAATTGTTTTCAAAGGCCACACTGTTGTGCAAAAGTTATTCTCCCACTCAAGTTTGTTTATTCCCTGCAGACCTTCCAAAGTGCCTTTGCTTCCAGTATGAAACCTATGCTACCTCTGGCTCCTGTTTGGTTTTCTTTGGTTGTTGTCTTCTCTTCCCTTTTGTGCTATTAGTTGCTTTGGAAGTAAAAGAAAAAATATATAGAAGAAAAAAAAAGTATAAAAAGAAACTGATTTCTTGATAGAGAGAAGTTTACCGGATAGTTAATGGAAAGAAATTACTTGGTTTTGTCAGAAGATACATATCTTGTGTTGACAGACTTAACTGCTTAACTTGATGTGTTTGGTTCCTTGAACTGAAAGCTGTTTAAAAGGTAATTATGGTGTTATAAAAAACTTATGAGACTGGGATTCCTTGATGCCAAATTTTTTAACAGGATACTTTGTGATGCCTTATAGCTTTTATAAGGAATACAGGATTCTTACTGTTGTTTCAAATATATAACAGATTTACAAGCAATTTATGAAGTTTAACCAGAAAAATAAAGTGCCTCTAATGTATCTGGGATATACACACAGGAATGTAAAATACACATAAAATAAAGTAAAAGTATGCTTAAGGGGCACTTTCATGTTTATTTATGAAGTACATTTCCCTCTCTATCCATCTTCTTAGGTATGGTCGAACACTTGGTTAGCACAAAGATTGCTGTGCTTTAGAATACTTATTTTTGGCATAAAACCTATTTATACCATCTTGATTGTGGCTGAAGTTTGTGGCTTTCTGTGACTCATTGTGATTGTAGCAAAGGGGAAACATGAATTAATCCTCTTATCTAATCTGACAGTCAACAGCTCTCTTTGTTTGCTCCATCAGCCACGCAGTCCTTGGCCTTGCTCATAAATCTTTTGTTCTTGAACACATATCTGTTTTCTACGCATTGTTTTTCAGCAGGTATCTGCAAGGACTCAACTGTCCCTGAAACTTAATCTCTTCTCTGCTGTTCTTCAAATACCCATTCATCTTCTGCTCTATTCCTATTTTTTTCAGAACACATGGAAATTGAAGACGTATCAGGTGATAATTTTTTTGTATGACCAGCTTACACCTACTTGAGAATAACCCACATCTTTACATTTTTGCGCTGCTTCCACTGCTGCCTCAGTTTCCATCACAGACTTTACTTGTATTTCTTGTCACAGCTCCCTTTCCCGTTCATTGCTCTGTTCTCAGGCTCCTTCATTTACTCTACTCAGCAGACTAATTTCAAATAACGCCACTTATGAAGTATCATTCTTTATTTGATTAAGCACTGTGTAATCAAAACCACAGGCTTTGGATAAATTTTTGATGATTGACTGAAGGTTTTTGGTGGAAAGAATTCCATATGAAATAAATAATTATCATAAAGTGAATCAGAGAAATCAGGAAATGAGTACATGTTGAATAGCTAGTGAGAAAGTAGCATCTACAAGAGAGCTAACAAAATAATAAAGAATTTGTTGCATATGAAAATGACTCAGTTCTAACAGAGAGAGGAGTGCTCTGAATGCCACTTGGGCATAGGTGGGTCTGAAGCCGTTGCTAGGGAAATGTGGTCCT